CAAAGCAAGAAATTAAATTATCATTTTCAATTGCTTCAACTGCTCTACGACTTCATTCAACCATACATTAACATTTGGCTTTCTATTACCAACCACAGTCGATAACAATATCAAATTGCTCAGGACATAATTCAGCAATAGAAGCACTCAACGTCCATACACCAAGTTTCGTCGATTTAACCAGCGGCAAGCCATCAAGATGAGCGATTAGGCTAATAAACGGACGACCCTGTTGCCGTTTTAGTAACTCATGATATCTCGCAGGATCAACAATATCACCATAAAAAATGGAAGAGTTTTTATTTGAATAACGATCGATCTCTTGAATGTTCCGAGCAACAACAGTTTTTAGAAGAAAATACACGTGGCCATCAAATACTGACAGAGTGTCTGAATTGATTACATGAAAATTTTTACAGTTTGAATTTTCGCATAGTTTACAGTCGCTACCCATTAGCAGAGAACACTCACAACAATAAGTTTTTTGGAAAATCGATTTGCTATAATCATATTATTCAACAGTTCTTTGAAATTCTTTGGCAAATTATTGAGTATCGGTAACATATTTTTGACTTCTTTGAGTATGCTCGACATTGTTGCTTTCGAGAGAGAACCTTGACGACAAATCTTTAAAAATATTTCATTAGCGTCACTTGTTTTCACTGTTGTGATAAGAATAAGTCATTGAGAATATCGTCCTTGTTCCAGTTGTGTAAATAGATGCGGAAATTCAATTTACAAAGGTATTGAGTGAGAAGATCACATACCATTTTTGCTTTTGTTTCACTTTCATCGGAATAAGAAACAGAATGAGTTAAAGTGCCTGGCCTGACTCATGTGTGTTTAAAAGAATAAAATATTCATTCGATTACAGTGAGTAAAAGATATTTCATGTTTCAATTCCATACAGCACCAAGACATTTTTCTCATACAAAGTCGATATTTTCTAACTGTGTTCAGCATGACTCGGTTCTTAAATGCTTGTGCCACTGTTGGCTTAAATTAGAATGTTAGAAACTATTACCGTTTTAAAAAAGAAAGGCGGCTGGGTAGATTGCTTATAACTTTCGAAGGGAAAGAGCTAGAGACATGTCGTTCTCATCATTGGATAGAGAACCATGAAAGAGAACTGTAGGCTTCCAGATAAGATCTACCATGGTAAGCCTTTCGATGCAAGGTCTGCGCGACCGCCGTTCCTGGACTGTAGGATGTATTTTGATTTTCAAACAGTGCATTCGATAGCCCGAATCGAGATCTACAATTCTAGACCGATTTAACTGTCTGTCTCTTCAGGAGCTATACGCGATATTTTCACGAGAGCCCTGATTTCGGCCAGTTGACCTTGGGTGATCCTAAAATGAGTCAAGACAGGGGTAATGGGCCACGCTGAGTCGAGTGGTGATGTTTATTTTTAGTTTCAAACGGATCTAAAGTCACTATATCAAGATTTTCCAATTAAAGCATTCTATCGCTATGTTGCGTATAGAGTGGATGTTTTGAAAACTTCGAAAGTGCAAACTGTCGAAAACCTAAAATGTTGAAAATCTTTTGCTGTTCTGTTGACGAGGTGACATCAATAGGTATAGATCATAGTCCATTCGGTTCGATAGATTTGTACAAAGTATTCTTTAACTATTATCAAGCGGACGGACAGAAACAAAAACTCTCTAAAATTTACATACGAGCCCTTAACTATTTATTCTATCTTGTTATAAAATATCTATACCGTCGAAAACTAATTTCAACATGGTAACTCCTGCAGTGTGATTTATTAAGAGTAACAAAGGAAACGAATTGCTGGTTCTTGATTCTTACATATTTCGATGCCAGTGGCGAATCCAGAAATATTCTTTGGTACATGCGATATGCGATAAAAATGCGAGATACGTGCGGTCGTCATAGAAACAAATTATTCTAAGAGAGTTCTGCTGGAAAAAACACAGTTTGTTGGTTAAAAGGTACGAGCGGCCGCTTGTACCGCTCGCGGGCTGGATCCGCCACTGTTCGATGCAACAAGATAGATCGAATACAACAGCGTATCAGTACACTGCTTGATCGATATGAACATGCGGAAATTGATTTAGCAGAACTGCTTCAAGGACTATCGTTTGTCGTTGCAAAAGCAAAGAAAAGGAAAAAAGAAGTAGTGTACTTGGCGATTAATCCTTCGTAAACCTGTTAGCTATTTTCCTGTGTTGTTCTCTATCTAATTTCTTCGAGAACGTTACTTCTCTTTATTATGTAAAGAAACAGACAGCAAATGACTGTTCCGATTTATATATATGATTTGCATTTCTCTTGACACAACTATGAGCAAGAAATATTTTGGAGATACAATCCGCTTCCAGAACTCACATTTTTGTTGGTATTCCCATTCGACATTTTGCACTTTCGAAGTTTTTGTTTTCTACATTTTACCTTTTCGACATTCTACTTTGCGATCTTATCCATTCTGCGTTTTCACTTTCGGTGTTCTCAGTTCTCGAGATTCGACCATACATTCGATTAGAGTAGTATTATGTTACTAAAACGATCTTCTTTCTCTTCTCATGTCATTTACAGTTTTAACTATCAAATGAATAAATAAATAAAGATTTTAATCTTAATTCTTCTTCTAATACTGAATATAAAATACGGTTTACCAACTATTGCGAAATAGAGAATTTGGGTTGTCCACGTCGGGTTTCATTGATCAATTTTTCTAATATGTTGCGAATATTTCTTGATTCATTCATTACGTTTTGTATTGTAATCAATTTATAGAGGATGATTCTCATATAGATGACAGACAATAAATTTCGGTATGAAAATCTGGCGTTCTGCGCTCTAATATTAATGGAAACTGTCCATGTCGACTATCGCGATGAAGTCGCGATAAAAGTCGCGACGCGAACGCGTAACGCGATCGCTTATAAACTCGCGAAATTTCTTGCTAATTTCGCGACCGCTATAAAGTCGCGATGGAACGAGATTTTTCCTATATAGTCGCTACATTCACGACACAACTTCTTCATTTTCTGCTTTTAGTGGATGCGACTCTTTGTTCTCGCGATGTCGCGAAGCGATTCCTATCTTTTTTCATCAAAAAAGCGCGACTTTTTACTTCTCACGATCTGACTCGCGAGGCAGTCGTGGTTTCTGTCAAATCCACTCACTCTCCTCCTTCGGTTCTTAGTTCTTTCTTATTATCAAGTAAAAGACTGTGAATATTCTATTCTCATGGCGTGTGGATCCAGTTTAACTGCCTGAAGTTTCAGTTCTACTGTGTTTCTTTCATACATGTATTTATTCACAATCCCTAATACAGCGAAAGTATATACCCTAGTGAAGCTTTATTTCTCAAGCACATGAGCAAGTATATAGCTCAAAATTTGTCTCCATGCACATGAATTCCTTACTCCTGCGAAATCCTTGAGGTATGTGCTTGACTTTCTTGTCTCATGCGCTTGAGTTGCTTGAAGTATGCGCATGAGAGAAATATGCGCGAGAAGAAATATCTAAAACAATGTGCATACCTCAAGAAACTTGAGCACATGAGTCAAGAAAGTCAAGCGCATGACATCGGCAAAATGCGTTTTACATGAGTAAGAAATGTCTCCACGCCATGAGATTCTTAGCCAAGAAATTCAAGAAAGTCATGTGCTTGGGAAAAAAAGTTGCACTAAGGTAGTAGCATGAGGAATCGCAGGCAACGTGACATTGTGAGAAGATCAAAAGTGCAAAAACCCAGTGTCCTGAACAATGTGCTCCAGCAAGAAACGGAAAACATGATCGAAGGTTTGATTTTGCAGTTAGATAGAGAAGTGCAATCATTTCAGATCAAAAATTGCGTGACAACCGACAGAAAAATTATTATTTCTTCATAGGTTTTGATGTGAAAAATGTGAAGTGTAGCTAAAAGACAGAGTGAAATCAGGGCTACATAACGCCTGATTCAGGTTTTCTCACCTTCAAAAAGTTAACACACGAAATCGTTTTTGAGTTTAGAAAGTTTTCATTTTTTCCTCCTTTCATATAATTTGAGTAGTTTCTTGATTGAAGTCCTGAAATTAAAGTTTAGGTATGGTTTTGTTGAGAAAAAAGTCATGACACATCTTTTGGTAAAAAAAAATTCCCAAAATGTTGAGACTGTATGGAGAAGAACAGAAAACAACAAAAGCACCCATTTTTATCTGGACCACTCGATATTCGTTTGTTCGAAAAGTGAGCTAATTGAACAAAATAGCTGATAGCACTTTCATAACATTAAGTTGAAGAAATAGTGTTAGGTCAGAGTAGTGCTAAAAGTATGTTATATCATATAATGAAACAAACGATTTTAGACTCTATAAGTCAGCTCTAACAGTTTCGAAATTTCTACAAATAGACGCCTATTTAGTTCTTTTTGATTGTTTTGTGGCAATGTCCGCGATAGAGAGTTCATTTCTGATGCGTTATCATGATAATAAGCTAATTATTAAGATATGTTTTTTATCACTGAAACTTTGAATAGAACTTTATCGCAATATCGCTCATTTTATCGAGAAAGACGAGGTAGTCGAGATGAAATGGGCAATATCGCGATAAAGTCAAATAAATAGGCCTGTTATCGTCATAACACGCCAAAAATGAACTTACATATAATTTTTTATATTATGATAAATGTCGATAGTTTTTATAATCAAATTGTTTATTTATTATACATATAGACAATTCTGTGTAAAATGAAAACAAAAATTAGACTAAAAGTAAACAAGTTGTCGAAATAAAAAATTGAATAGTATATCATGACAACATACAAGAATTAATCACATTATGGATAATTGATATTTTTCAATATAATTGGATCTTACATAATATATCAGATTTGACAGGCTTGTCGATTATTTTTCTTTTTCGTGCTCAATTTCTTTTGTTAATATAACCGTGCATTATAACAAAATTGATCATTCTCAATCACTATGACTTCAGATGTAGTTAGCGTGTGAAGCGACGTACAGAAATTAATCTTAAATACACAATCACTGGTTTTCAATAACATCCATTTTACAAGATGTTCTCGCTTCTCCAAATCGATTTCGTATAACACAAATAAATATTCCAGAATCAGCTCGTGTCACTTTCGATAAGGTGAATATGGCATTTTCACCTTTAAAATTTGATTTTGGCAATACAGTTGGTGAAACAAGCTAAAATTAAATAATTTGATTAACTGATGTCGCAAGAATGAGAAAATATATGCGTGCACACCTTATCGTTATGGTACCATTTTACGTCGATTAATGGGCCCGATATTGTACACAACAATTTTAATGGTTTTCCTTCTTGGACGGATGTATTTTGTAATGATTGAATGATACGCGGTGTGGCATCGGACGCCGATCGAGCAACGATTAATTGAACAATTGTTTCTTCTCGTCCAAGTTTATTTTCTATATAACATTTAATATTTCCGTTATCTTTCATTGTCACTGGTCCAATATCTAAATAATGAATATCATGCGCTTTGAATAATCGATATTTGGTATTATTTTCATTGGTATTTGATATTTCTCTATCGTTATGATACCATTTTAGTGATGGTACAGGATCACCACCAAAACAACACTTGAATTTAGCTGAAACAAAAACTTACATTCTAAAGTTTCTTTTATTAGTTAATTTCAATATTTACCTATTTCATTTGGAAGAACAAGTGCAGACTGTGGACGAATAACTAAATAGGGTGGAACAAACTTATTGTCTAATGACCATAAACCCTGATATGATAATTGATCATTTTTTTCCATATTCCTTTGTAGATCTTGATAATTATGATGATTGTTTGATCGCAGAGTATCATGTTTCAAAAATTTTTCATTGTTAATTACACTATTTTCTAAATTAAGTGACTCTCGTTTGCGAACATGTACTAAAATAAATAGATGAATATAATAATCTAAAGTTTAATATTGATATTACTCCCAACATGAGTTAGAAAACAACAGTATTTTATTACAATTATATTAATGTTGTAGACAGACGCACACCATGCACAAAACACAAACGTGAAACATATCAATTTACTATTAGTTTAAATAATGTAAATGTAGACAAAAATGAATGTTAAAGAGATTGTTAATTAAAATTTATCTGAAATCTTGTTTTCATCTCAAGAATTATTGTTATTTATGTACTAAGTTTTTAAATTATTCAACAATTCTACTTTTCATTTTGTTCAAGCAATTCACTCTCATGCAGTATAATATACCTAAACCGTTATCTAACGCTCGTTTAAACTGCAATAGACGTTTCATTATACGATCAATAAATCTGTGTACAGAAACTGAAAAACAACATCGATAACTTATATTTTTCATAATTAGTCGATCGAGTTACCTCCTCCGCCGTTTGATTTATTGGAATTTTTACTATTGTTTAATGTATCTTCGTCAATAAACAATGTTGTATGTAAATCATTAACACATAATGAAACGTGATGTGGGTGTTTATTTTCATTAATATTCGTTTGATTATTTTTGTTATAATGTTGTTCTGCATGATCATTTATAATGAGATGATTATTGTTATGATTAGAATAGTTTTCTATTTCATGAACGGGAAAATACGTGTCGGGTTCATGTCTCATACGAACAGAATTTTTATTATCCACTCGTTCCCAAATAGCTTGACGTGGCAATGAGATTGCAGGTGGACCTTTGATAACAGGTAGTTGACGTTGGCCATATCGATTTTCTTGGTAATTAAGCAATGGCTGAAAGAGATAGCTAACTTAAACATTTTATTAGAGTAGAAGATAAGTCGGACCATGTTAGCCACTGTTTTTGAAAAGTTTTCTAATATCTACTGGAACGATTTAGGAAGTGTGATATCGTGACTTAGTTTGTAATAATAAAATTTTTAGTAATTGTGAAATGTAGAAAGAAATAAAATATATTATTTAGTCTTACCACTCTTGATTGAAGAGAATTTTCTGGATAGATTGTATTTTGTTGCTGATAACTAATAACATCACCATTGTTCATCTGTCTTATAGATTGACTATCACTGTCACTCGATGTATCAAGTGTCGTACATCGACTACTAAGAGTTGATCCTCTTTTATATTGATTATTTTTTTGTTGTTGTAATTGTGATGAATATGGAATGGTTTCCGATATATCTATGCCATTTTGTGGTACTCGAGTGTTTATTCGATAATGTGTTTGGCGTCTCCAATCTTCTAATGAAATATTATTTTGTTCTTGATACCCTTCTCCGCCCAAAGATAGAGATAATAAAGAGTCAGAATCGGTAATTGGTTCAAGTGCTGTTGTACAGGATAAGACACAGTTCGGTACACGAGCATTATCGTCAACTATCGATTTCATTATTGTATGATAAGCATCATCAGTTGTATGACGTTTTCGACGATCACGCACACGTTCACGATATGTTGCCGATCGATTAGTTCTATTGTTAACTATTATATTTGATCTATCATGACCAGGTGAAAAATAATTGTTTAAGGGTGATTTTTGAAAATCTGATGATTGAACAATAGATGAATAACGTCGACGATCGCACAATGGTTGTGTTGTTAATAGTCGTCTTGTACCATAAGAATGTTCTTTTTTTTGTTCTTTGTATAATACATCAACATCTTTCATTTTCTCAATAGGTAATCTCTCAACAATAATTAAATCACGTTTATTACGATGGTTTAATACTGGTAAACTATAATTTTCTATTCGATTATATCCACGTGTGTCTGTCATTAGTGTTGGCCGATGTGATAATTTATTCATAAATGGATTAGAATCTTTTAAACGTATATGAATTGTGTCGGGAAATATAAAATCAGATATTCGATTGAAACTTTTTGATACAGGTTTATATAATTTATCAGATTGAGAACGTGGTGATGGTCGAGGTGGCGGTAGCCAACCGTTTGGAAAATAGCGTGAATTATTAAATTGATACATAATAATGACTAGAAAAAAAACGGATAAAAAGTGAAAAAAATGTTGTTTTACAAGAATCAAACTACTGTATAGTTGCGGATTTAAGAAAAAATAAAAGTTAACTATGTGTGTTATACCGAATGAAAAGGAAAGACACAGATTATATTACGTAAATGTATGCCTTAGACATTTATAATAATAAATATGGGAGAGAAAAAACAGTAGAGAAAGTATATCCTGTTTCAGTTGATAGAAAAAAATGACATTATGCAATGTTGTACGTGTATGTATGTATATACACTTTTTTATTGCATTTATATAAAATAGTACCACAGGATACAGTTGGTTAATGCTCCTTCAGTAATTTAACACTTGTTGAGATCACTTATACATCATCATAAACTGAACCCTTCCAATAAACACCTATTCATATATATATAGAGAGAGGAAACGAAGCTGCGTACTGTATGATAAGTGAAAAAAGCGTTATTTTATACAATTGTGTGTATAATCAAGGTCTATTATAATTAATCTATACCAGAAATGACATTCTCTATGTAGCAAGTTGGCAATCATATTTTGCCTTCAGTTTGACAGGTGGTGTTCAGAATACTTGCCTAAGAATAAATTTTCATTCTTAGCTCTAAAATGTGTTTATAAAATTGTTTACTTACCTAATAATCATTATAGTAACTATCATTATACGTATAGCCTATACTACTAGATAGATACATAGACAACTACCGTCTGTTGTATAAAAAAAAACGAGAATAGAGAATTAAAAGTGAACAAGACCTCCAATATAACGTAGTATATCAACTAATTTATGAAACATATGTTAAATTGATATATCTATTATTTTCTGACTTTTGTATGATATTATGATGCTTAATTAAATGTAATTCGGATTAAATATTATTGTTCAAATTAATAGGATACATAACGAATATAACAATATTTGTATATGTTTGACTAACGCAATTTTGTTTAATAATCATCTTTGTATAACAAAACAAATGTTCATTTTTAGTTTCTTTCTTGAATAAGAATTATATTTATCTAGTTGTTCAATTTCGATCATAATCAATTATGGAAAGTAAAAAATAGACAGACTATTATGAGAGTTTTAGCATATTTTGTTCTAAATATGTACAATCGCGTAATAAGCTGCTACTGTACAATAATTATACCTGTTTATTGACATTATTTGGGTCATGTATCTTATTCTTTGCTTTACTGTTTTTTCTTTATAATTCCCCTAATGATTTCTTCTTTTTTTTTCATCTATTGAAGATTAATTGTAGTTGTTGTTATATAAACCGAGACTCAATTTATATTGTAAAAATAATCAACAACTTTATACATCAGAAAGAAAATAGAAATAACAATAAAAACTACAAACTGTTAATAATAAATATGTACCAAGTACACAACCATAAATCTGTATAATCATGTACATAAATTCAAGATATCTGCAAATGTATATTTGTGTGTATATTATAACAAACTGAAACATCTTGCAAAAAGAGAAAGTTAGTATATTAAGAAGAGGACAAGAAAATAGCCAATATCCACATACAATTCTTTCATTATTAACAGAAATATTTTACAACATTTTATATTCCCTTGAAACATTCTCAAGGTTTTAATTTAATTATCTTTTTGAATGTAATATTTTTTTTTTCAATATAGAAAAACCATCACAACAAATTTATAATCAATATTTTACTTTACTTTATATTAACTATCATTTTCTAAAGTTAATCGAGCGTGAATCCTACAAATCCTTAAAGACAATCACAGTTCTTTTAAGAATGATCTTTTCAACAGAAAATAAAGAACGGAAATATTGACTCAGAAAACAGTAGAAAATAATCTAATTGAAATGAGTTAGAAAGAAGAATAGAATAAAGATATTCAAAAGCTTCTACAGTTTTTAATGGAATGATCAAATAGTCTAACTTTTTATATAGATTATAACAACTATGTCTCTAACTTCTTGTTCATAATTATTTTCTTTATTTGCATTTTAATGAAATCACCTGTATAGTAAATATACTAAAAAATAATTTCTTATATACTTACTTATTCTATTCTATATGATATGTTAACAATAAATAAAACTAATCATCACCACACACAAATCAACTTTATTATCATTTATCAAAAAAAGATACACAAAGACATTTTATTTTCTATCCTAATATATATGCCATCACAACTTCTTTTTCTCTTACTTTCTTTCCGATGAAAATATTTTTGTCTCGTATATTCTCTTGGAGTCTATAGAATCGTCCTTCGCTTTTTTTCTTCTTTTCTTTTCAAAACTATGTATATACTGTCGTTTCAATAAAATTCTGTTCTGTTATCGTGAATAATGTTCTACCACTACTTGATGCGCGTGCATCAAAACCTTCACTTCATTTTTTTTCTTCTTGTTTGCCATGATTATAATAAACCTCTAAAGAAAACAAATTTTTCGTCTCCTTTTTTTTTTGTTTCTTCAAAGTCCGACATCCACTAACTAATAGTACCCAGAAATTTAACAAACGCGATTACTTTTCTCTGTCTCTCTCTCTATTTTGATGATGTCGGTGAAAAGAGAGAATATTGAGCTCTTGTTGTATGTTCTTTATTTATTGTACATTTGATTGAACAATTTGATAATGTATACAAAAAATATATATTTTTTTGTTTACTTCATTATCTCATCCTAGACGAGAAATTATCTTAAGACATAACAACTATACATATGTGTGTAATTGCTCACAAATTTGATGATCGACAGTCAATATATTTGATTCCATCTATATTAACAGTTTCTTTATAGAGAAGAATAAAGTGTGCAACTAAAAACGAGGGACATTTCTCGTATAGTATTTCACATTTGTTGATGTCTTTTTGTATAAATTTTGAATCGTAATCAAACTCATCTAAGATTTTAATTATTTGCATTAGGTTTTTTTATACACGAAGGGCAAAAAACTTGAAAGAGTATTAATTTAACATGTAATAATCACGGTATTTTTTTTTTGTCTAATATTCTCTTGAGGTAGGTACTCAATAGAAAATTTTTCCGTTTTTTTTATGAACATTTTTTCCATGAAGAAAAAGAAGAAAAAACGTTTCAGAAAAGGAGTCGACTACATTAGATCTTATTTTTATACCTTCACACCTTCTTAATTTCGCAGTGCAAAAAACTGAAAACAAGTTACAAGAACTATGAATATTAAGTTTTGAGACTGTAGTTAGCACGTAAACATTACTCTGTTTAACATATTATTATATGGTATATTTATAACAAAAAATTGACTCATATTTGCGATTATTTTTATACTTGAGACCTAGGGCTGTTTTACTTTTTTTATTTTCTTCTGTCTGTCTCGTGAAGACATTAAATTCTCCTTATTAAGTGACAACAATATTATTTTATGTCTTATCGTAGTCTTCTTTATCAAGGTTCTTGTCGACTTTCTCTTACACAATAATAGGTGAAAAGATTAAATCAGACAGTATGTCAACGGTCTATTGAGAAAATTGTAAAATCATTCCTAGAGTCGAAACATTGTCTATACTTAAACGTAACAACTATACAATTACTTTATACTTCAAAGTTTACTTTGTAGAAATTGCTTATTAGCTTATAATTGAAACTAAACATTACGTTAAGAACAACAACAAAAATACTTTTTTACTATAGCCATCCTATATAGTTGAACATAATACAAAAATATCTCTTGAATATAGGCTATAGAAATATTAGATTTGATTAAATTTAGAATCTTATTAACTTACATTCTATAGTATAAACATGTTGAAAAGCATAGAACTTTATATTTTTGAAAACAAATAAGTTCAGGTACACAACTGGTTTCGATCTTCGTCTATGCGTGTAAACAGCACAACTCTGTGCGTGCATGTTTTCTCTTATTCTGGAGAAGAAAAAGGCATAATTTTTAGCGTATAGAGAAACAATATTCATTAAAATAAACTTTATTTAGTAGGGAAAGGGGGAAGAGAACAACCACTGACTAAAACCGGGACCCATGGGATTACATTATATCAGTTGTGCAGAATCTCAAAAACTAAAAGAGAAAAAGAAGAGAGATTTGAATACAATTCAGTAATAATTAAGTTATGTTGTCTGTGTCAAAATAGGAGCATCTTCGCAAAAAAATAATGATGTTAATGGCGCAGAAGTAGTGACATGGTGAACAATGTACAAAAAAAGGAAATAGTAAGCCAGTTAGAAATGTTTTGTATCTTAAATAAATTCTGAAACAGTATTATAGATAGTATGACAAGTATCATATTGCATATTCAAGCGTAATAAAGAGTGTTCAAATCCGCTGTAACATCTTCACTGTCTAGTTGCGCAAATAGATTTGCCCTTGTTGCCGCATACGCTAGACAGTCGAAAAAAAAAGTTTTGTGTCTTCAAACATTTTATCTCCTGGAATTGAGGACGGACAGACTTCACAGAAATTTTCTAACACTAGTTCATGTTTAAAAAGATAATAATTTAAAGCAGAAAAATCAACCTACAGACGGCAGTAGAGGGCTTTACTTCTCTTAGTTAATGTATCAGGTAGCATTCTCTTTATACTTCTTCTTTTCGGCATTCTTTCTAACATTAACGGGATTTTGACGTACTACTGAATCGGAATGATCAGTTTCGAGAGGGAACCATTCGCTTATAGCTGACGGAAAAAATGATGAATGGAAAAGTTACTTTTGTAATTTAGATATCGTAAATTTAAGGTTGCTAAATGCCGCTCGAACAATATTTCGTCTGTCTAGGAGCAACATATTCGATGCGCTATTTGGCGGCACGAACGAAACCAAAAATAATTTTGAAAAAGCATGCACATTTGGTTTGAATAAAACAGTTGAGAAAACGATAGTCGGTTTTGATCAGCAAACATCTTTCTTTGTGATATTCCTAACATAGCGTCGCTAATAGTTATAGACTTATTTGATACTGACCAGTCTCGAGTTTCATTAAGTTTGAATGCGTAATTAATGTGTAAACCTCGCTAGCAAAATTAACGTTTTTCACCTGATAAATATGATTTCATTTGACTTGAAATGTCAAGACATTGTTTTCAGGAGGACATCACGGCACTACTAAGATCCAGAAGTTCATTAGAATACATCATTTTATACCTTAATTATTTCTGAACATAACCATGTCTAAATTACTATCATACCATGTACGGAAAAAACGTTTATGCAGATTTTACCAATGACTTAGACAAAATGACCTTGTCCAGCTGTGTTTAAAACAACTATTCAATTTAAAATTGATACACAGTGGTAAATATTATTAAGTAAAAAAGATATCACATTTCTCTACCTGTTGGTTGTTGGGAAATATGCAAGATCACTTTATGTTATGATATCTAGAGGCGTTTGACGATATACTTAATATTCAAGAATGTTTTTAAAATTCAAGTGTAACTGTCAAAAACATTGAACACACTTCGATCTCACTACTCGCATATAATTAACGTTTATTACGCATACCATTTGTTTATTGTATGCATGTTTTTCAGTGAATTGCAGATAAAAACTGCCTGTTTACAAGAATATTATGTATTTTCTTTCGCGTGGTATCGACATAGTACCGGTGAATATACTGTGTATCTGTGTTATAATAATAATAATATTTATAACAGCGTTTTTCTTAACTACGTGTAAAACAAGAATAGAGAACAATAAAAAGTATGGCATACTTCTCGGCGTAATTAATATTCAGAAAATAATCATTACAAAATTCAAATGCTGAGTTTAGAGTACGAAAGCTAGTAGTGTAGCAAAGAAATCTATGACAGCGTTAGTCAGAGAATGATAAATATTCTTTTTTTCTTAATAACAGTCAGTGTTACATGTGTGATCTAATGTTTAAAAGTATTAATAATAATAACCTTAATTCGTGATTTTCATTCTTCATATTATATATGTGGGTCAAGCATAAAAGACAAAAGTAAAAATAGAGTTTCATCCATGCACATATACACTCTCTCTCACGTTGTAAGAGCGATATTTGCCACCCTGTAACTACTATACTTAATGGCGTTCATGATAACCTTTAAACATTTGATATAAAAAAAATTAAGCATAAGAAGAATGATCGCATCTTTCTGTTCCTGCACAAGTAACAAATGTTTGTCGAAAGAAGTGGTGAGCCTTTTATTTACTTAACATCTTTCGTTCTAGTAATAATACTTTTGTATTGTTCAAGATTTCAAAATGACATAAATATTAACTTTAGTTTGTATTGTCTTGTCTTCTTCTCTTCATGGTAAAGCTAAACATGCCAAAGTTGATCCACAAAAATTTCTAACATCATTCTTCTTGAAATATATGTCAGCGTCCAAACTCCGATTCAGGCTTGAACTAGTTCAGGCTCCGATCCTAGTTTGATCTGTTAGTTTAACAGTCCGAACTCCGATCGGACTTTCGACTAGGCAAACGTTGAAGACAAGGTAAATTCTCAGTCCAATCTAAGATTGGACTAACTCGTCTAGTCCAGTCCAGCCAGATTGAACTGGGCCAAACTAAGACTGAGAATTTTCTGAAGCCAAACTCAGATTGGACCAAGCCAAAACAGATGTTAATATTAATTCTACTTTAATTACTATGAATGTATTTAACGATAAGCGTTGGACAATCGAGTACACATAAAGAAACGCGCACCACAACCGAAAAATTATGTTTCTTGATTTTGACACCTTCCCGTATGTTTATGGCATTTTGTTGAACAAAACACTTTATTTTTTCTGCACGCACATCGGTTATTTTTACAACCACCCTTGCATGAACATGTTATACCATTAACGGCACCACGAACAAAAAGTTTGGACGCTGTTATTATGCTATTTCTTTCAAATCACTTATTTTTAAATTAACTAATTCTTGTGGTACTGCAGCCAGACGAACCGCTGATTCTACCGGTCATCAATGACCAAGTATCCCGTTGGTACATACTACTTTAACACTTTTGTTTTATCTATGACAACGTATGGTAATAATTTTGGGTCAGTATTTGTTCTAACAACTTTATCTATTTTGATACCAACGAAATCCCCCACAAAATAATTTTCCAATAATTATTGAATATGCGAGCTATTATTTGTTTGTTTGCATTAGTTAAATATATTGCTGCAGCTTTCTCTCTAGTATTGCTATGTTGCGAATTTGCTAAACCAAGATTTGATGGACTAACTTCGTCAAAACCTGGTTGATCGCTAACATCATAAGTCGTGCTCCTTGACACAACTGCCAGAGCATCATTTATCTGCGAGATTGTGACATTTATTGATGTATTCATAGCATTATTATCACTAATAGTACTACTGTGTGACGCTGCATTTTGATCAATACCTGAAAGAGTATACTGTGTGGAATCAGATGTACTTGACATTTTCGACGACAGGGTATTGGTTGAACTTGGCTCAGATGTATTACTCTGATCAACAAGAACTACATCATCTTCACTAGCTAATTGTTCATCCAGTACATTGTCAGACGCTTACCTTTAAATTCATTCATAGTAATTAAAGTAGAATTGATATTAACATCTGGCATTGGACTAGAAGAGTTAGTTCAATCTTAGATTGGACTGAGAATTTATCCTGTCTTCAACGTTTGCCTAGTCGAAAGTCTGCTCGGAGTTTGGACTGTTAAACTAACAGACCAAACTAGGATCGGAGCTTGGACTAGTTCAAACTCGGATTGGAGTTTCGCTTAGGTCAATCTGAGATTGGCCTGGATCGGAGTTTGGACGCTGACATATACATCAAATCAAGTGACACCACTACATAGATATTAAATATCGGCTCGAATTAAAGATAAACAGGGTAAGCTATTGTTTAGCAATGATTTCAACATTCATTGTAGTTTAAAAAAATCAATTGTTCACTTTTGCTTATTGATTGTTAATTTAGCAAAAATAATGCATATAAACGTGTTAAAATGCTCGTGTTACGCAATGGCTAACGAAGTAAACGTTAAATCCTGATCAACGCTACCGTTTCGATATCATGATAAATGATGCTACCATGTATACTCCACTGCCTATCCACTTATATGTATCACGTAGATGTTAATTATATTATAGAAGAAAACGAGTGGAGTTCTGGGAATATGCTCATATTTTTGAGAATAATTACCAGCTTATATTAATAAAATAACTGAAGATCTTCCATCTACAGCTACTAAACAACTCAATCCTCTCTTCAAAATGAGATTAGCCTGAAGACGATTGACTTCAATTCTAACAAAAAAGCCTGTACTGGAAAGGAATCTATCAAGCGATATAAGCTATAACATATTCCTCAGTAGTTTCCTACTACTGTTCTGGACTCTTTATGCTAGAGCGTAAATTTCTTCTGATAGATGTTAACGTCACTCCGGCGCTTCAGTCGAATCAGTTCAACGGATGTGCTCGTATTTCTTCATTACGACTGTGAATAAGAATGTCTCAATTTACCACTGATGGATTTAAAATTTCTTAACATATAAGAAAATTTCTAAAAAAGTTTATCCAGTTATAGCTTGGATTGATAATTATAACTACCTGAACTTCATTTATAACTACAAACTTAAAATTTCATAAGTTCATTGCAGTTTGTATTATGCTATTGCCGAATGTCGATGTACGAAGTACGAGTTGATCAGAACTTAAAGAAATCTCTGGGTAATTCCGTGGGCTCACTCGCATATTTACATCGACGTTTGATGCATAAGCTAAAACCCTATCGGAATTCAAGGGTATGATTAACAACTATCACAATGAAATTGTTCGGAAACATTGGCATCATAGGATCCTCATGTCGATATTTTTGGTGCGTTTAGAGAGGCGCTTAATTTTCTAGAAAAAGAGTAAGAGTGACCCATTGAAACCATGTGATATAGAGTACAAAGATATAGCTTTGCTGTCATATAGTCAAAAAAATTTAGAAGTCATTTTTAGCTGCTTCTGCAAATGGAATATCTCCATGAAAATAAAACAAGATTTCAAACTAAAACAGTGCATTGAAATCACGTAAACATGAACAACGTGACCCACTGGTTTGCTGAGATACTACCGAGTATTTCGGACCTTAGACTATTCAGTTACATTTTCTTATGTCTGTCTTATATATCGTTTTGTAGCCCGTGAAATTGCCTATCGAATCATATATAAAGTAGAGTGGTTTATACACTTTTTAAATCATGGCTATGATCAAAACTGTTTTAACACGGTTCTGAAGGATGATGATGGTATGTGGGTCCTAGAATGAGGATGGAAAGGCTCGGTAAACTTGTAAAGTTACTCATTTTCATTCGCTGAACACGAATATATTATTTTTCTGACGAAATAAAATATATAGAGGGAGAAAAATGCATTATTTCGGACATAAGTCATTTTTTGCCTTAGGGATAGCATACGTTATTAATTCACTAGAAATTTTTCCTAAACTTATTTTTGGTCGAATGATACCTCATTCAACGCGTCATCAATCAAAGAACTTTTGGTGAAAAAATCTCGACGCAGACGCACAACTAGGGTATTACTTAAATGAAAATACCAGTTTTTCGGTGTATGCACTTTTTCGAACTTTGACCCTAAAAAAGCGAGATTAAATCGGAATGACACTCGCCTTTCAGCACTAAATCTCTATTTGATCCTCTATCAAACAAAATGTCAACCGCCTCTGTAGCCCTTTTTATGACAAAACTATGGCGATAATACTGAAAAGTACGAAAATGATCACTTTTAATGGGTCCGAAAGTTCAGACGTCCGGCACTCTGTACCGAAGGGCTTTCAAAAAGAATTTTTAATAGTTTTCTGACGAAATCGTATACGCTCTTTCAGAATCTGTGATCAAAAATGAATTTGAAATTGAGGCGGTGGAAAGTATGTCAGAAAAATGCGGTTTTCTCATAGACTGTCTCTTAAATGCTAAAAGATCGTTTGTATGCTTTTTTGAAGCTACGCATCAACTCCATTAATAATTATAATTACTATTTTTTAAATCTTTAGCAGCTGCAACTAGAGAAAATCGGACTCGTAGGCGGAGTCAAGCTGCCAGACAATCTCAACAGCATACAAACGATGTTAATCAGCATTCAGGTGATATAAGTGTGGATAATGCCTCTCCAACACGTGGTGATCACCCAACAAGAACAACAATTATAGAGATGATGCGAGAAGTAATTAATCGCTACCATAGGTCTTTAGATACTAGTTTTCAACTGTAAAGGTGTTTTAATTCAAGTACAGCAACAGTTTCAATTTATGTCTGTTCGGTTTTTTGGTCAGCTTTTCTCAAATTCTGTTAAGTTTTTTTCTCGTTATGAGTGTGAGTTTTTAATCTATCATTCCATTTCTTACACCCAGAAACAACGTTCTATCAGGTTTTTTGGTAACTAATTAGTGTAACTAAATTACAATGCCCGTATTTCTGTTGTTTTGGCGAAATTTTTTTTTTTTGAGTTTGAATTAAAGAAATACTTATTTTTCAAACAAATGTGTTGTTCTACCACTGAATTTTCGTCTTTGGTTTTAAATGATAACAAGATCATGTGATGGACAAGACGAATCAATGATTTGTTCCGTTTTGTAAATTTCTTATTTTACCATGTTTCGCAATACGTAGAAAGTGTTTATTTTTGCCTTACGACGTAAATCATTTTGATCGTACAGAAATAGAATATGAGTTAGAGCATGATTGATGTAGAGGCGCAACCGGTATCAGTATACCGGTACCGGTACGAATTATAACCCGACCGGTATACCGGCATTAGTATGAAGTATAATCACTCGGTCGATATTACTGGTATTTTGCGGCATGATCGAGACAAATCGGTACCGACCGGTAAACCAGTCACTGGTATATCGGCCGGCACCGATACGAAGTATGTATACCGGTGACCGGTACCGGTATCGCATTGCTGATACCGGTTACACCCCTGGATTGATGAGATTATATGTTTTTATCTTTGTAATCGATGCCGACCTGTACAATGATGATTTGTACGATAATTTGAGCTTTTTGTTTTTAATGATTAAAAGTGGAAAAAGTGGAACAAAAATTAAAAAATCAAAAAAAAACTTTCCTGTAGTTGAAAAATAAAAAGAAAAGAAGAAAACAATAGTCAGAGTGCGGAAGGACTATTGTTCTTTTCTGTTCTTTTTAATGCTGGTTGTTGTTGTTGTACCAGAGTGTTGACTGCCTCGAGAATTTGGTTCAGGGTTGTTTGTCGTAGCTGCAGTTGGAAGTGTATCTGGGTCAACTGTCCGTTCATCAAGGCTAATGTTTGTCCCTGCTGGCCCAGCATATTTAATATTTGTTGTTGCACCTCCTGTAGCAAAAGAAAAATAGCTGATATAAAATAGTTTAATAAAAAGGATTGGCATTTGAAAACTCACAAAATCCTAGATTGAGAAAACAAAAGAGATCGGTTGTCCTACGTCGTCTGAACACATTTTTTTTTGATCAGTGAGAAAAGACAAGAGTAAGAGTAAAATTTTTTTTCCATCAAGCCGTTTTTTTATATCAGACTCAATACGTTCGTTATCTAGGCAATGAACTGTCTGCCGTGTACCGAGAGAAAAAGACAGTGAGAGAGTAACGTTAAAGAACAGGACGGACCACACGTTTATGAGTGTCAAGTGCTGCTGCAAGGGAGTATGAAATATAATGAAGGACTACATCTTGAAGGACGCCAACTCGATCAGAAAATTCTTCAAGTGCTGTCGTAGGCATTTCCCTTTTTTCTGCTCCTTATTCGCCTTTTCCGATCAATTTATTTTTTCCAAGTTAAAAATATTTTTGATAAAAATTAAAAATAAGGAACTTACTCCTGTGCGCCCACCAGCACGTCCACCAACACCAATACCAGCACGTCCACCAACAACAACACCAACACCAGCACCAGCAATATTATGTTAGATTGATAAAAGCATGGTTTTTGAACCAGCTATAAGTTACCTGAAATCTGCGGCAACACTGGATTCTGGGGTAGCACCGGAAAATGCTGACGCAGTAGCCAGCGGACTATGTGCGAATAAGAAACAAGAGAAAAAGATAGTGAGTGATCATGAAAAAGAACAGGACGGGCCACACGTTTGACTGTCAAGTGCTGCTGAAAGGGAGTATGAAGAATAGTGAAAGACTACACCTTCAAGGAAGCCAACTCGGTCACAAAATCTTAACCATGCTGTCATACTTTGCGTTTAGCGAAAAATGCGTTTTCGCTTTTTTTTCCGCATTCTGGAAAAAAATTTCCGCTTTTTTATCCCTTTTCCGATCAAGCCATTTTTTCCAGGTAAAAAATATTTTTGATAAAGATTAAAAATAAAGAAATTACCCTTCTATCAGGGTGTCCAGTAGGGCTGTCTGTTTACCATTACTTTACCAGTAACAAGTAACAATTTCTGTTACTTGGTACTAGTAATTAGTAATAACAGATGCTACTTTGTCGCCTTGTTACGAGTAACAAGTAACACAGTTGTTACTTGTTGCTAGTAACAAAGACTTACTGTGTTCTAGGCAATGAACTATGTGCCGTGTAAGAAAAGAAAAACACTAAAAGAGAGAGGGAGAGTAATGTTAAAGAGCAGGAAAGATCTCTAATTGCTTCACTAATCTTTAACTGGTTAAGTTAAGCCAGAGAAAAACGCTGAAGGAAGATCGCTACAGTTTTGACGGTATTAAAACTATTAGAAAAACCGTCCAGATAAAACTGTACAAGTAAAACCGTCCACTTTGACAGGAAAGAAAAAAAGAACAGCTCCTCCAGGAATAGAACCTGAGACGCTTGGCGAGTATGAATTATGAGACCCAGACACAAACCACTGAACTAAGGAACTTACAGAAGTATGTCTTCGCACAGCATACTCATCATGTTCTTGGATAGACTTCTGTAAAAACTTCAGCAGCTTACGAAAAGCTGTCGCTGTTGAATTTATAAAGCTCCTCGCTATGGTACATGCATTTGAGATATAAAAGAGAAACGCCGTTAACAGTTTTGTACGGTGTCACGAAAGGTGAAAAAGTCCAATATTTTGTGAACCTTAGAACCAGTCTAGTTTTATAGAGCTCATCAATTTACGTAAACGATTACCCTTTCTGACTTCATAGCCGATGCAGAAACCGAGAAAAATGACTTTTACTCTCCCAGCAAAGTTATCGAATTCGGCGCCGCTTACAATGCAAGCTCTGCGATAACAATGAATACTGCGATAACAGTCTCTTACGTAACTTCATGAGCTTTATAAGAATAGATTAATTTTAAATGAAGCGGAAAAACTTTTGTAAAATGTGGAGCATTTCAGATGAATTTGTCCAAAAGCAAGTTCGATCTTTGTCGATCGAATTTTAGGCTTATAAACGAAACATGACAGCAAAGGCAACCTGGACCTTTACCTCCCTTCGCAGCACCTGTTTTGGCAAAATCTACTTCTTCAAAGCTTAACATTCTTAACCTGTACATCTATTTTTGGCTAAGGTCGGTAGTAACTTACGTAACGTTGAACACCGAACTTTTTGTAGTTATAAGGCAATTAAAACCTAAAACTCTGTCCAGTTGATCTAAGACTTGGTCTTCCTCCTAAATCTACTTCCACTCTTCCAAAACTCGATCGATTGCCCATTTCCACGCCTGTCAGTGTAGGGAATGGTGACCTGTGCAGTCCACTTCTTGAGGGACTCGGACTGTTACATAACATAAAGTGAAAACCATGCATTAGTATCTTTATAGTATACGCGTTGTTGAAAATACACGTATGTGAGAAGTTACAAAATCAGTAATATAGTTAGGGAAAAACATTCGGATAGCACTGTCTGCAAAAATTTGATTGAAAATCTTTGATTGTCACGTCATTTCATTTTCGAAAATCAATACAAAAGCGGGGTGAGCCATCTTTTTCTTTTACTAAGACGATCGGTGACGATCATGCTGAATAAGATCGTTCCGCTCTGTCTCCTTGTAATAGTTGTTTCACCGTTTCATCAATAATTTCATTGTTTTTCGGATTTTGTCGATAATATGCTGCGGTGGCAGGACGACCACCTTCTTCCAGGTCAATGACGTGTTTGGTGGTGGTATCAGTAACGGATGGTTTTGTTGTATCAAATATTTTTGCGTATCTTCGTAACAACATTATCACTTTTTCACTTTCAACGCGGTTGTCCAATGACGTGACCAATTTATCGATGTCATCACAGACAGACTTCGGTGCTTCATAGTCCGATTCTCGATCTTTTTCCAATGATGCAATTCTCGTAGATGATTAAACATTTGTTGCCTAGATGAAAATTGAAGGGAATATTCTCGGCATTGGTATTTATCAGTGTTTGATTGCAATAGTGATGACTGTTGTAGCTTTTCATCAGAGTTAAGGAGAGTAACACACAACCTTGATGACGGATATGAAATGGTACCGATACAGGCGATATTTTTAGATAACACGCGCGGAAATACGGACGGATTAATTACTGTTATTAACAATGTGTAATTTTCATGAAGATAACGAGATGAAGCACAAAGAATGTTTACAAGCAATATATTTCATAGTACTTGGTGAACAGAAGTTTTTGCGTGGCGAAATAAGATGGAAATATGTTACATAAAACTGTGACTAGTCCAACAAAAATTGTTGTTATGAAATGAATAACGCATTCACTTCAATTCTTTCAAGTTTCAAACTTGTATTTTTCGATGATTTTAGAATAAAAAATATATTTGTAGTTCGAGATTACTTAAAATATCCTTCTGTTTCCTTCTCACTTCTTGACAATCATGAGCAGTATTGGTTCCGAGAGGAATCGAAGAATATTTTATATTTGTAATGATGATTTGAGAAATGCAAATAAAATCTTATATCTTATATATGCAAATGGAAAGAGACAGACTTCTCGTGACGTCTTCTACTCAATCGATAGAGAGAATAAAGAGAAGTTTATCCATTCGAGTCAGGGACTAAGTGCCGTTCCAAGCCTTCTGGAAAGATCAGGAGAGGTACCAAATGAGTCGTTCGATTGAGCCGAGGTGCATGGGCTCTAATGACCAACGACTCTTTGATCAGAAGGCGATAAACGTTGTTGTCACGCCACAAAACACGAAAATTCTTCCAGTCCATGTGATGACCGGTACTTTTTTCGTTTGAAGAATGTCGTGTCTCATGTCGTGTTCACCCGACTCCAGTGGATAGTTGATCAGATCGAACTGGAGGCGAGCAACAACGTCGAGAAGAGACACTCGATTAAGCTGGAAGAGTTACGACGAGAGAAGATTAGGAGAGGATCACGAACATCGTTGTTAGATCCGGTGACCAGTCTCTCGAGTCGAGTACCCACGGACGAAGAGCGAGCAGCACTGATCAATGGTCTTCACCACGTGTATCCGTCGGAGCACTTCGATCAGGCCCAGTTCATCTGCAACATTGAATATTTTTACGCTCGATTGCTGAATGTCCGCACCGCTTACCAGCACTACGAGCGTCAGTCTGCTGATGTCGTCGTTCGCCATGAGTTAACATCGACCCAGTTGCATGCTGCATCGGAGCTGAGGTCCATGGTCAACACCGTTCGACGAACGGCACAGCTAGAAAT